CCTTGTACTAAGCATTATTTTATTGAAATCTTTAATCTTCAAAAAAGAAAGAAAAAGAAATGCTAGTTAGGTTGAAAACCCAAAAACGGGCAATCTAAGCAATAAGGGCTTATAAAAAAATTGATGAGTGAGTTGATAAGGAAGGAAAAATAATAGAGATGCTAGGATGAAAACCTGAAAAGGCTCCTAGGCAAAACGAGAGACATGAGAGGAAAATGTGTTTGTTTTGGCAGGACATCACCACTTGAAGAAGAAGAAGAAAAAGAAGAGAAAGAAGAAGAACCAAAAGAGCGTAGAAGGTCAACGAACCCAAGAAAATGTTGTTTGTATAACTCATTTGCAAATCTTGGTGATCTTATGTTCTTTGTTTTTTGATTGTTCTTGAACTCATGAGGATTTGTTGAAACACTTGTGAACATTTGACTTTACTCGAGGATGAGTAAAGAAACTAAGTGTGGGGGAGTTGATAAACATGTAATTCCCATGTTTATGTTTGTATTTTTAATTAATTTTGATTGATTGTTACTTTGGAAATTACACACTTTTGGTGTAATAGTTTAGTTTGTAAAAATATTTGTAATTTGTTTAGAATAGGATTATTCTGAGCTCAGGACAGGTTAAAATCATCCAAAGAATCAAAGGATTGATCCTAAAGACCAAAGAATGTGCAAAAGGGAGAAGATCAAATGAAGGTTTTGAAATTCGTTCAGTACTCGGTCGAGTATTGCCAATACTCGGTCGAGTATTGACCGGATACGCTAGTCAAAATCAAATTTGGGAGCAAAAGAACGTGGCCGAATATTTGATGGAAATCCGGTCTCATACTCGACCGAGTATCACTCAATACTCGGTCGAGTATGCCTATATTTCACAATTTCCTGGAAACTACCTTTTGTGCTCGGTCGAGTATCCCATATACTGGATCGAGTACAACACCCTGCCACCTCCATTTTGCTATAAATACACACCTTTTCCTTCACATTAAAATCACCAATTCACATATACTCTAAGCTCAGTTTAGTTAAGTTTTTTCTTTATATTTTCTAGTATGTTTAGTCTCCAAATGAGGAGCTAAACTCTTCCATCTTGGTTTTGCTACTTTGAAGCTTAATGAATTGTAAGTTGTGAGTTATTTTCTTTAATCTTCTTCATTGAATATTAATTATTACTTCTTTCCTTAATACTATCTCTATATTAATGTTGGGGAGTGTTGCTAAGATGACAATTAGTTAACATCTTGACATTAGTAATAGTAGTATTTTCTTCCTCTATATTAATGTTGGGGAGTGTTGCTAAGATGACAATTAGTTAACATCTTGATATTAATTATAGTAGGATTCATCTTCTTTAAGAATATTCTTCCTTGAATATTAATTAATTCCTATTCATATTTCATATTAATATTTTGAGCATTACTTAAAGGATCAACTAGTTTTGTTTCATATATTAATTATTACTAGAATCAATCGATTAATACGCCTGTTATTTTTTCGGTTCGTTCAACGGTAGTAAACTTGAATTATTAATGCATGCGTCTCATGGTTAATAACCTAAAGGGAATTAATTATGTTGATTAAACCAATAAACCGCTTGTGTTGAGGTTATTAATCTCAATCATTTTCATTTTAAGTTTATTGCTAGTATCGGGTTAATATACGGCGTGTGTTCTATATTGATTCGGTGGTAAATTTTATTAATGAACGCATCTCGTTATTGATAACTAACCTCGATGAATTGGATATACTCCTCGATTGAATATTCGAGAGGAAGATAGTTAAAGATATAACCGGGATCGACGAACATTTCATTAAGTGGATAAAAGCAAAACCAAGTCTTCATATCATTTAAGTAAAACACATAACTCATTCATCTTAGTGTTTAAATACATTTAAGTTCATCAACAATCATAAAAAACACCCCTTGTTACTATTTAATTAAAAGAGAAATATTCCTTTCCATGTGGATACGAACCTTACTTCATTATACTACGTATAATTGTTGTATTGATATTTATTTTGAGTGAACACCATAACAAAGTGCACGTCAGCAATGCCAATATCCTTCATGTCAAAATGCAATTTAAGATCATCTTTCACACTTAATATCAGCATTTTACAAGAACCAATAAGAAGGATGTCATCAACATAAAGCAGAACATACAATGCATTTTCAGTACCCACATGCTTAAAGTACAGACATGTATCATATTTGACCCGATGAAATCCCAATTCATTCATGCAGGCATTAAATTTCAAGTTCCACTGTCTTGGGGACTGTTTTAATCCATAAATTGATTTCTTAAGCAAACAGAAATGATCAGGTTTATTTTTGCAAATAAAACCAGGTGGTTAAGACATATAAATGGTTTCATTAATGTCTCCATGCAAAAAGGCAGTTTTAACATCCATTTGCTCAAGTTTCCAGTAAAAAACAGTAGTCATGGCAAGTAAAAGTCTTAGAGTTTTGAATTTAACCACAGGAGCAAAAATATCTTGGTAATCAATCCTTTGTTTTTGTTTAAAACCTTTTGTAACTAACCTAGCTTTAAATTTAGGTGGTTCAGTGGGATCAAGATTATCTTTTATCCTGTAAATCCATCTACAATCTATGACTTTAGCACTCTTAGGCTTAGGGACCAATGCCCAGGTTTGATTTGCAAACATGGACCGCATTTCTTCTTGCATTGCCTTAAACCAATCATTTGGCTTAGAACTTCTCACAGCTTGTTCAAATGTGTCAGGAACATAGTTTTTAACTACTTCCGAGGCTCACAACACAAACTCAGCAAGGTTTGACATATATCTTCTATTAGGAATAATTGTCCTAGGTTCTCTATCTCTTATAAGTTGATAATCAGCTAAGTTTGGTTCAACAAAGTCATTAGAATTTTCATTTGATGAAACATATAAAGAATCAGACATATGCATATCACTTTGAACATGAACATCATGCAAATTTTCAGAATCATTAAGTGAGGGGGAGTTACTACCTTGTTGATCTGTATCATGATTAGGACACACATTACCTTCAGATGAATCATTCAAATCATTCTCAGATAATGAATGATCATCATTGACATTGTGGAAAACTCCACCGTCATAATCCTCATCAGATAAATCATCATTTTCCAGTGGATCAAAGAAGTTTCCATCAGAATCACATGTCAAGTCACTTGAAGGAGTGTTAGTTTTTTTATAATGGAATTCAACTTCATTAAACACAACATCTCTGGACACAAAGCATTTATAAGCTACTGGTTGAATAACTAAGAGCTTATAACCTTTAACATCCTCAGGGTAGCCTATCATTACACATTTGATTGCCCTATGTTTCAATTTACCTTGGGACACATGCACATAGGCAGTGCACCCAAAGGGTCTCAAATGAGTAATGTTAGGCTTGATTCCAGACCACATCTCTTGTGGAGTCTTAAAATTCATCACAGAAGATGGTGATCTGTTTATCAAGTAAGCAGCGGTTACTACAGCCTCACCCCACATAGAGTTTTTAAGACTAGATTCAAATAACATGCATCTAGCCTTTTCTAGTAGGGTTCGGTTCATCCTCTCAGCAGTACCATTCTGCTGAGGTGTACTAGGGACAGTTAAAAGCCTTTTAACCCCATTAGTTTTGCAAAAATCATTGAAAATAGTATTGCAAAATTCAAGTCCATTGTCAGTTTTCAAAGACTTCAGTTTAAGATTAGTTTGAGATTCAACCAAGCTCTTCGAGTTTTTAAAACTTTCAAAAGTGTCATCCTTTGTTTTCAGTAAGTATACCCATACTTTTCTTGAAAAGTGATCAACAAGATAAAGAAAGTATTTCCTTTCTCCTATTGTTCCAACTTTAGAAGGTCCCCATGAATCATCATGAATCAGTTTTAGGGGTTTAGAAGCAGTATAAGTAGATTTACCAAAGGAATGTCTGGTTTTCTTTCCAAAGATACAGTTTTCACAAAAATCAACAGGGCTAGGTTTAAAATCAATCAATCCATTTTTAAACAATTTGTTCAAACCCACATTAGTGATATGACCTAGCCTCTTATGCCATATTTCAGTTTGTTTTTAATAGCATCATTAGGGATAGGGGCAACAAGATTAAGTTGTAACGACGTACAGCCTCCCCTCATGGGGTAACTAAGCTAGAGACGCTTCCCTCTACTTCAGGGGACGTACGTCTCCAACAGGCCATCCAGGCCCAATTGAAGACGAACGTCTCCAAGGTTTGGGGCAGCTGGAGACGCCTCCCCTACTTCAGGGGATGCACGTCCCCAATAGGTCAGCAAGGCCCCAATTGCAAGACGAATGTCTCCAAGGGTTGGGGCAGCTGAAGACGCCTTCCCCATACTTCAGGGGACGTACGTCCTTAAAAATAAAAGCAATGCCCGATACAGAGTTTGGCAGAATAAAAGTCTGATTTCCTCTTAGGTTATTCACCAAGCTAAATGTTTTGTTGATGGGTGGCTGGAGGTAAAACGTAAGGGAACAAAGCCTTGCCCGGTACAGAGTGCTGCTTGTTTATGGAAGAACCCGATGCATGGATTCTTTAAATTGAACGTGGATACAGCTGTTCGGGATAATAGGTGCAGGTTTGGTTGGGTTCTAGAAAACGATTCAGGGGAGTTCGCTGCAGCAAGAGCTAAATGTTGGCCTGGATCTTGCTCTAATTTGGAAGCTGAACTTTTCGGTATTCGTGAAGCTCTTAGCTGGCTTAAGCAGCATAATCGGGAGTATGTTGAAGTGGAATCCAACGCTCTACGGGCAGTTGCTGAAATTCAAAATAGGACTTTATCTCGTACTTTGGAATGTTAGCGGAAGATATTAGAGAGATGTGCTTGGAGTTTAAAGAACTTCATTTTTCTCATATTAGGCTATCTGTGAACAGAGTGACTCACGGGCTACCTAGAGCTGCTTATTCTTTGTGTGATAGCCAATTTTTGTGGTTTGTCCCACCTAACTACATTGTTGATGTTTTGAAGTTTGAACTTTGATTAATTGCAATTATTTTCTTTTCCTCCAAAAAAAGAAGTAAAAGCAATGCCAAGACTCCCCAAAACCCTAGTTTATGCTTTTGCTGCTACGTTTCAGTTGTCTTGGGAGTCGGCAAGAATTGAGTAAACACCACAATGGCTTGGGAACCCATTCGCTGGCTTATCTTCTTCGCCATGAATATTTCCCTTCTATGCATCAATCTATATCAAGTACGTCACTTTACCCGTTTTTCACAGGGTTGGATAGTTTTCCCAAAATTAGTTATGACTTAGAGTGTATATTAAGTTCACATTTTTCATGAAATGTATCCAATCAATTTAACCTCAACTTGATTGAATTTGAATAATTTTAATTCTTTTTTTTCCACTGCAGATGGTATGTTTATCGGATTTAGAGGCGGACTACATGAACCCGTATGAATCCTTGTCTCGCATAAATAATGTGGTTCTTAAAGAGTTCTTATTGCAGGGCGCATTTTGCTTTTTGTTGCTTGTCACTGGCCATTGGTTATTATTCCTGCTTTCACTTCTCCCAACTTACTTCAATGCGAAAAAGTAAGATTCATGTCATTTACCCCTTGGCTATGAATATTCCTTCAGTATACAATGTGTGCAGGTGGCATGATTTTAATTTTTATTATTTTATTCTTTATATAAGTTTTCTATTATTAGTGTTGTATATTAATTTATTCATTTGAATGAATGAGTAAGAAATTTAATAAAAAACTAATGAGTAATAATTCTTCTAAGTACATAAATGTAAACAAGGAACCAAAATGTAAGAAAGTCTCTCACAGCCATTTGAGGGCTTAACAGAAACATATCTGCGCTGCCCTGTAAAGAAAAAATATGGATCTATTGTCTGGGATACATAAGAAAGACATGACTTAGAGGAAGTTTTTTTTTGTAAACAAGAAGTAAATTGTATATGCTATTAATATGTTGCTGAATATGACAATGTGTTTCAGGTGGCAGACCACGTGAGATATTACAAATACTCCGTAATAACTGAAGAGGAAATATAACATGCTATTTTGTTATCTTATAGTTTTATTTGTGCTATCATGCATGCTTGTTGTTATTACAATATATGGTTTGTTAATCATGTCTATTTTTAATTCATTATTTATTCTTGAAAACTACAAATCATGGTATGCTTTCACAAAATAAAATGGCTGATAATAAAAAATTAGTGATGTGGGTGCATTGCAGTTACGTTATGATTTTACATGTGATTTCAAAAACAGTGCAGTTGCACTGTGTTGCGGTTGCGTTGCAGACCGCAACAACAATATTGTGGCCGTCACACCATAATTTAGAACCATGGTAATATGGTATGCATTTTTCTCAAGGCCTCAAAATATTGAGTTCGATCCATCATATTTGCCTCCCTCCCTCACAATTTCTCCAATTCTGTGAAAAAGAAATATATACCCGTATGCCATATAGTCAACCATATGACAGCAAAGTGACGGCAAGCTAAGAGCTCATTTTGTAATGGTGATTTTGTTGAAATGACAGAAGCTACTTAACATGGCAGAATGACTGTGTCACTTAATTTTTCTGTATTACGATTAAAGAAGGAATAATAAAATATTTCTATAAAATTAAATAAAATAATATTCCATTTATGGAAGATCAGGTATAGCTGTCAAGCTGTTATTTTCATTCATTTGAGTAACATAGTCCAAAAAAGCGTCCTGCACTATTTTTCTCATATATCTACTAATTCTGCTCTCACAATCAAGTAATCAACTAAGTTGGTAGTATTTTGTATACAATCTTCTTCTAGGTTCTAAATGACACCAAAAGTAATATCTTGATAGGTGTAATATATTGTCAGTAAATGAAGGAAATCGCCATTTTTCAAGCTTATTGATTGACAATATTGCAGCATACTTACCATTCCATGCTTATCTGAAATTATCTCTGCCTTTTAAAAGATGAATTATGAGTTTATACTTTGACAAAACTGCAGGTTCATGGCAAGCCAACACCTCATTGATGTGACTGAAGTGTTTAGGGTGATCGACTCGGAGAAGAAAATTCGGATTGCCAAGCTGGCCTTCTATCTAGTTTTTTTCATTATAGTCCTCATCAGGTCAGTTATATACCTTAGTGGCTGAGTTCACTTAGACTATGGCACTGAACCATTGGATGAGGGCTTATATTAGTCATTATTTGCTCTGGCACATATCATTCTTTGCAGGCGCATTTTCTTTTGTGCTTTCGGTTCTTAGATCCAATTGTGAAGACTTAGATGTTGTTAGACGCACAAAACTGGTAAAGGTGTATTGTATTGATTAACTTGGATTCTGAGGAATTCTCAGTAATCCGATAGAACAGTTCAATGAACACAGAGAAATACGAAATCTAGAGGAAGAAGAAAGACTTTCTCTCTCTAGCCTGAGCCCAACAACTTCCAACTGAATTCCAGCCTCCTCTATTCTCTCCTCCTTTCCCCATTTATAATATTTCTATCCTAAAGAGCTGGCCAAAAATCCAGAACTAAAGGCCCAAAACACTTGCTTAAAAACTAACACAATCTTTATTATTCTATTATTAGTCTTTATTATCCGGGTACCTATCATTACTCCCCCCTTTGACAACCACCTTGTCCTAAAGGTGGGTGATAGGCCACAACTTTGATCTTCCACTTCATCCTCATCCTGGTGCCTCTTCCTTCCCAGTACCTCCCATATTGCTGGGCCATGAGCTTCATTTCCTGGAGAACACACTGATTGTTGGTACTTTTGTAATTGTTTTGTTCCTCATGACCAGATTGTGCTGTTGGATATTTCCTTTCAATATCCTTTTCTGGATGCACTGTTTGTGAATTTATCAAACTGTCAGCGCTGATATTTATTAAAATAATGTGTCCATCTCGGGTTAAGCACAACACAAGTTCTTCCCCACTTTCATATGAGGTTCCACCTTCCGGTTTCACAGTGCTTTGATGAACATCCCATGATGCCTGGCAACTTTCTCCCCCTATAGCCAGTTTGGATCCTGATGCCATGTACTGCCGGATGCATACTGGGGAATTGACAAGCGAAAAGAGAGCTGTGCGTTGATACCCAGGACCACTTGGGGAAAGGAAAACTTCAGTGTTCGGTTCAGCGATCAAGCGCAATCTTGTTTTCCCAGAGCCAGAGCTGCTGCCATTCATATAATAGTGAAGTTGGCTAGATTTATGCCCAATAGCAACACTCAAAGAAGTAGTGAAAGAGTCTAGAGCTGTTGTTGCTGCACTAGTACTAATGCTCCCCAAGCTCTTTTACCTTAGATAGCGCCCACATAATTGACAAAATTGGGCACGTGACCTTCACCTCAGATGAGAAATCACAGGCAGCCAACTGTTTATAGAATGTGTTGACTTCTTCATGAGGATTGATGTGGATCAAACTAAGAGATGCTTTCTCTGAAGGACCGTTCATCATTTCAAATAGTTGTAGAGGAAATGAAGTATCCGGAGGCTCCTGCACACGAGTTGTCTGTGACATTGCAATTGAATGATCTTGCATTAATGCTCCGGTCAGAGGCTGTGTTGATTGATGACCTGAAGCACTTTCACTTCTCCATGGTGGCCAAACTACATCACTGACATCCATGTGTATCCCAACTTCTTCAAGATTAACTCCATAATGAAGCCAATGCTTTATTCCCAATGCTCGAAGCTTGAACTACCAGCGTGAACTGCTGGCACTCTTTGTCTTCTGGAATTATCAACATATACATTAGACAAGGAAGATGAAGCATACTTCTCACCTATCATTGTGGCCATTGATGTCTGTGCAACCTTGCCAGTATAAACTTTACTTCCTGATATAGCATATTCACTAATTCCTGAGCCAAAATGATCAAAGGGAGAGCAAAGAGAAGTACTGTGAGAGGAAATGAAGGCAACCCTGTCATCCATAACCCTGTTCATATCTGCCACTCGCCCCACCTCAGAACTATCATGTGAACGAAGTGAAGGAGGATACAAAAAACCAGTACCAGAAAACTTAGAAGGATTCCAGTACATCACACCACCACCAAAGGAGGGTTTATGTTTCACACCAGGACACACATGAACCTCCAATTCTTCTTCAGTGACCGACAAACTGTGCATTTTCTTTAGCAAATAGAAATTCTGAAAGAATTACACCCTGCACATAAACTTGCCACCATAAATAACCAAGAGGTTCATCCTTAACAGCAAGCTTCAGAGGTTTCATATCTCCCCAACACAAATAAACTGCCTGTCCCATGCCTGTAGGTGGATTAACATCCTCTTCAGGGTCTGATTCCATAACTGATGGTGCAACCTGCTTCAATTTTGTGTTCCTTGTTGTTGGTAGAGTCCCCCCGGGGTCCCTTTCCTGATGCGACTAAGTCGAAGGTTCTAGAAGCGGATGAAGCTGATGAAACAAGGTGAGGAATGAGTAGCGATTGTGAACTGAAACTGTGAGACGCTGCTAGCGACTGAGAAGAGATCCGCGGTCTATGTGGATTACCTCGAGAGTGCGACGACTTATCGCTAGCCGCTGTAGTTCGTCGCTTGTTAGTTCGTGACCTTCTAGTGGATTTCCGATGATTCTTTTTCATCACGATAAGGCGCAGCTCGGCCATCACCCCGTCCAACTTGTCTGTAATCGATCGCACCTCTGTACAGTTGTGTTCCATTTTCCGCTCGATGTTGTTCACTTTTTGTTCGAGATTCTCCAATCAATGTTCCATTTTTTTATCGCGTCAATCTTCTTCACAGTCCGCAGGACCGGACTGCTATGATACCAATATTAGACACACAAATATGGTAAAGGTGTATTGTATTGATTAACTTGGATTCCAAGGAATTCTCAGTAATCCGATAGAAGAGTACAATGAACACAGAGAAATACTAAATCTAGAGGAAGAAGAAAGACTTTCTATCTCTAGACTGAGCCCAACAACTTCCAACTGAATTCCAGCCTCCTCTATTCTCTCCTCCTTTCCCCATTTATAATATTTCTATTCTAAAGAGCTGGCCCAAACTCCAGAACTAAAAGGCCCAAAACTCTTACTTAAAAACTAACACAATCGTTATTATTCTATTATTCGTCTTTATTATCCGGGTACCTATCAGATGTTCGCTCTCTGTTCTTGAATTTTAGAGACTTGATTTGTTGGATGTCATATGCACATCCAAAATGCTAATACCTCGACTAAAAGGTATGTTTGCTTCACAGACTAACAGTAAATGCTAGAGAAAGGAAAGAAATTGTCAATGACAATTATTTCTTATTTCTGTGCATTACATTGGGAAATGCAAAAGGAATAAGACGTGATTATTTGTTTTAGTTTTTTCTTATTTTCATATTTTTAGTCTTTATTTACTTCCTTTGTTCACTTTTACGTGCTCCACTTTTCTTTTACGGGAGTTTTTTATTACATTCTTTACACTAAAAGAAAGAAGTACACATGTCTTGTTCCTTTTGCAAAAATAGAGTGCATCTTTTAGGCTTTTAGTATCTTCTCAAATAAGCTCTTCCGTCTTCACCTCTTTGAGCTTCTTTTTTATAAATATATTTTTAACTCTCTTTTTTTAAGTTACTTTAAACATATCCATTTGTGTCATTTTGTGTTTCTAAGCCTGCTTATGAGCTACAGTTACCAAAAACTAATATTAAGAATTGAGATTAGCTATGAGCTCTCAAATAACTTATCAGCTATCAGATTGGTTATTGGCTATCAACTAGCTTATCGAATTTGTTTTCCGAAATAGCCTAAAATGGTCAATGGCTCAAATAACAACGGTGATACTGAGTATTCCATATCATGCTACTGAACTTGTTTTATACCTACAATCGATGCATATAGTTATACAAATACCTACCAAGTACTAACTGTAGTCAGAAATAAAATGATGCGTTTCTTATAGCTCTTACTGTATGCTTACTTAATGTCTGAGTTAGTCCCCATTCCCTATGGGTGTGTTTAGTCCAAGAGGGGAGGGGTGGGGAGGGGAGAGGAGGTTCACCTGTCTTGTTTTGCTAAATATATTGGGAAGGGAGTTAACTTTTCTTCTTCACCCTCACCCAGAATTAGATTCTATGTTGAGAGAGTGCCTTTCAACCAACACCTGATCATATGGTGGGATTTGATGCATATTCTTTTCTTATGTTTAATGAATTCATTTCTGTAAATCCTGCTAGTTTTGTTTGATGAACTTCACATGTTGTATGTAGAAATTTCTTCCTTTGATTATCACAATTATGGAATCCTTATTATATGCAGGCTGGTAATATCTGCGACCAGATATCTAATTGACGATGTTAGTGAAGATTTTCATTTTGGTGTAGCTAGCAGTACCCTTTTCAGATGAAACCCATTTTCTCAAGGTTTTCCACTTTGGAGCTGAAGCGTGGAAATTGAGCTCATTTGTGAGTGTTATGAGGTTAACCCGTTAACCCTTGGATTTGAGATAGTTTTAAAATGACCCTCTCATATGGACGTTTCTTATAAGTGAAAATTAATTGTAAACACCCCAATCTAAGAGAATGTGTGAACTGTCAACCCAAGACCTCAAACTTCTACATATAAAATTAATTACCTGAGCAATTCAGCATCATGAATGTAGGTTTTAGGATGCTCACTGCACAATTTGAATGATTCTGAGATTATGGGGTGAGCATTTAATTTATTATTCAAAACATACATTTGGGAGATAACTCAGATAAGTAGTCTATGTTGACGGCGTTAAGATCGCATTTAATATAATGTTCTGGACACTCATCTGACACATTGAAGTTTGGGGTGCTTGGTTCACATATCCTCATAGTTTGGGGTATTTGAATAATTTCCCTTCAACCCCGAGAAATACTAAAACACGTCCAGTTGTTTAACTCTAGTGTCTTGAATTCCAATGATGAGCCTACCTCAAGGCTCATAATTTTTGTTGTCGATGAAGGAGTGTTTTGGTCTACCTCAAGGCTTTTTAAGAAACATCCATAGCATAGCTGGAGATGGGTGTTTCTGAAGACTAATCCAAACTTAAGGGTTAACTTAGTAAGAATCAAATGGACTAGTTTGCATTGAGGCTGTTTTTAGAAGAGTTATTTATAAAATAGTAAGCTTAGAGGTTGCCTCAATTTTGTTTGTTTGTTTGCTTACATTCAAAAGCTAGTTTCTGAGCCAACTTTGCACACTCATGTTTCCAAATTCTCAGCTTGGAACATAGCTCCTCTTGTTCAATTGGTGTTTGACAGAAACGTAGCCCAGTTTCTAGCCCATCTTGTTCTCTCTGTGTTGGTAATGCATGAAAGATTATCATTTGAACAAAGTTTTAGTTAGTACTTTGGGATAAAAAGTGAATCATTAAAACATTATAATCTCTCACTTGAATTTGCATTATGAAATATGAAGTTATTATACTAGTATATGTTAGATATATAAAATTTGGTGTTGTTGAACAATAGAGAAGAAGGCTACTGGGTTACTGAACTACTGGTTTTATACTTGCACATGTGTTACCAGAACCAGATTGGGTCGACCTGGAACCTGGCCCTGGAACCGGTCCGGTTGATTGGAGACCCGCAAACATGAGTAAAAATGGAAATAACCAACAGACCGCAGAAATCAGGGATGGACCTGGACCTGGACCGCCGAAAACCCGGAAATTAGACTACTTGTCTGTTTGTGCTAGAGTCACTCTTTTTATAAATGTATTATATACTTCCATAACATTTTTTTGTTGTGGGTTAGTAATCATTATATTAACCATTTTTATTGCCATTGCTATCATCATACGTATTATTAATAAACGAATACATATTTGTGAAATATCTGTGACATTCCAAAAATTTAAACAATACTCATTATTTTAAAAATTGTTCTAGGCGATTGACTAGTCCCCGCCCTAGGCGGTGGTTGGACGCCCCGATTTTATTCTAGGCGTTCCGACTAGTTGGTTTGACGCCTAGGTGAATTAGTGAGTCGCCTAAGGTGCCTAGTTGCCTGTCTATAGCGCTTAATTGGCCGCCTAGGGCTTCTAGATTTGACATTTTTTTTTTTTGTTTTCAAAGAGATATATGTATCTTTAACTTTAACAACGCATATAAACAAAGCATAAAAACGCATAAAAACTATACATGTTTGTGTATACTCTTAAAAAAACAGAATAAAATGCTGATTATGCAATTTGTAATTAATTAAGGTGATTATTGTGAAGAGTGAAATAGAAGAGTATAGAAAGTATCACAATCTTGAAGTAAGTTCTATGTCAATCAAAATTATGCTTTTACCTCCTAAATCTGTATGTAAATGTTTCTTGTGATTATTTGAGTATTTGGTATCAAATTAAATTATGAGTATTTCAAATATGAATTTTGATTGTAGATGTTTATTTGAATTTGAGCTATTTATATAGTATTTCGTATTTTGAGCTATTTTTAGAAATCAGGCTTTAAGGACAAAATATCCTTATTCTTGGAATTTTGGAGTTTTATCCATGTATGTATGTGAGTTTTGGAAAATATTGGAGATAGAAATTTGTTTTTATAATTGTGGGCATCACGAGAGAAACTTGTGGTGTTGGTCTCTTTCACGATCGTTAATTAGGGATGGACTCGGGACGGTTCGGTTCCGGTTCCGGGCCGGGCTCGGGCGGGCTTTTTTTGCAAATCCATGGGCCCGGAACCGGCCCGGGTTGATACCGGGTCCGGGCCGGGCCTAGTTCAATGTCTATTTTTTTTGCTTTCTTGTTATCCCCCGACCCCCCCTTCACCCCCACCCCCAAACCTCCCCAAAACACCCAGCCCTAGCCTAGGAAAAGAAAAAAATTGAAAAAAAGACCCGGGCCCGACCCGAACCGCCCGGGCCGGTTCGCCCAAAACTGGACCCGAGCCCGGCCCGCCCGACCCGCTCAAACGTGCTAAAAGCCCGGAACCGGCCAACCGGTCCCGGTCCGGTCCGGGCCCGCACAGTAGCCGGCCGGTTCGGCCCGGCCCAGTCCATCCCTATCGTTAATTGTGAGGAGGGTGGTCAGAGGCTATTATTGCTTTTTGGTGGATTCATTACTTGTGGATTATATAATTATTAATAGTTGGAAGACATTTCGGCATTTCTTTGAGGGCTATAAAAGTTTGGTGGTTGTAGTAGTAATTTCCTAATCACTTAGGGAGTATATTCCTTTGAGGAGTAGTTGGTACAAACTACTCGTCAACTTGGGCTTCTTACTACATGGATTGCTTGAAATCCCTTTTAGGGGGTGTGCACACTCAAGGTAGAAGTTCAGCTTTCAACTAGGGGTGGACCGGTTCCGGTTCAGACCCGGTTCGGGCCTGGGCCCGGCCGGGCCTCGGTTCATGAAAGGGGAGGCCTGGAATCGGTCCGGGTAACCCCTGGGTTCGGTCCGGGCTGGGCCGGGCTTCGGTTCATGTAATTTTTTTTGGCTTTTCCTAATTAAGCCTCCCCCCTCCCCCCTCCCCCCTCACCACAAACCACCCCAAACCACCTCAAATGGCCCATCATACCCAGCCCAACCCAAAAACTTAAAAAAATTCAAAAACAATTAAAAAAAAATGGCCCGGACCGAGCCCGAACCGGCCGGGCCGGTTCACTATTTAGCAAGCTCTAGCCCGAACCGCCTACCTCACCAGGCCGGCCCGGGCCCGCACAGTAGCGGGCCGGTCCGGTTTCGGGCCAATTGGCTCGGCCCGAGTCCACTTCTACTTTCAACATGTGGTCGGCAGGAGTTGGAATTCCGGAATGAGCTGCAAACAACAACTGCTCATTGGGCTCAAAGAATCTTGAGTTTGGTGGGATGTTGGAGAAAAGCCAAAGTTATAATTTCTTTTCATTATATATTACGGAGTATTTCTCAACTGTATATACGAGACATTGAATTATTTTTGGACTCTATTTGTTATTATAATAATTATTTAAACTATAGTTTACACACACACACACACACACACACACACACACACACACACACACACACACACACACACATATATATATATATATATATATATATATATATATATATATATTGAAATTATATTGTTTTACGGGGTTGGGCGGAATTTTACTTAGCGAAAGCTAATTTTAGTGTCGTTTTGTTTTCTCCTTTTTGCTTGGACATTTAAATGTGATGATTATGATGAATGATGAACTTTGAGAGTGCTACATAGAAAATCTATAAAATAAAAGTAATGTATGATGCTATTTTAACTAATGAGTTAAATAGAAGTAATGTATGATACTATAATGAGTTAAATAATGGTGGAAGCCTTATCATTCGGTTAATAAAAGATTCAATGTGACGGTGACACTCCCATGTTCTAAGTGGCAATATTTTAATAAACAAGTTTATAATCTAAAAATTATTTTGGGGTGGAATTTGGGGGGGGGGGGGGGGGGTTACCTTAATGTCACTGAGTTAAACTGAATTTCCAAAAATGTGAGTACTTTTAAAAATGGACAAAAAAGTGATCAACAAGGTTATATATATGGAAAACATGATGTCCCTACACAAATTTTGTCACTACATTTTTTTCATGTCACTAAGAATAGTCACCGGATGTTTTCACGCCATTTACACCGCTACAATGATACATCCTCAGTGACACCACCTCAGTGACGCTGCCACACTGCCACAGTGATATTGGATTTTCCAGTGACGCCACTCACCTGAATATAATCCGACCGTCGTCAATGTCATTGTCGGGAAATTTTCTAGCGCCCAACTGCCAACAACAACACTAAGGCTTGCCACAACCACCCTTGTACGTCCCCAGCCACCACCGCTGCCCCATCTATCCCTGCCGCCCCGGTCCCATCCACAACTGCCACTCTTGCCCCGTCCCAGCCCCATCCATTGCCCCTAGTCATGTACTCCGGTCGCCCTCCCCTCCCCTTTTCCTAGCCGCATACTTCGTGTCCCCATCACCTTCCCCTACCCCACCCCCTGTCGATTCTTCAGCCCCTCTTCGACCTTGAGGACGGTGGATCCAATAGATCTGGCACTATCTGCGCCAAAGCTGAGTCGTCGTCCACCAAGGTTGGCGAATCCGGAACTGATTGCGGTTGATTGCCGCCCTCGATGCCCGCTCATCATATTCACTACCCTCAAAGCTCGGATTTAGCCCCTTTGTAGTCGGAATCGTCCCATTTGCGCTTGGCCGTTGGGAATCACGTCATCCCTGCAACTAGATATAAATAAAAGAAAAAGAAGGATGACAGTGCAGCAGGGAGGACTTGCGGTGGCGGCACGAGAGGAAGATGGCAGAGGAAAGGCGACGGCGACAGGGCTGGATCTTCGGCGGTGGTTGTTCAACTATTACAAAGAAAGGAAGCAGAAATTTGACGCTAAGGAGGTTTGATGCAGCAGAAATTGGACGCTAGGCTAGGTCATATTTTTGGAAATCTGAAAAATGGTTATATTTATGTCCATTTAAACCTTCTAGATAATATTTTTGCCATTATTCCAAATTTTGGGGTGTTACAACATTCATTACATCTATCAATCATACTTATAATTGTTTGATATAAATAATAAATAGTACTTGGTAAATATTATGTTCCCATATTTTTCATCTAATTCCAAACACATCTTCAATTTTGTGAATTTTTAATATATTGGTTCATCAACTTTTAATTTAATAATATAACCATAATTAAATTTTGAATGAGGATTTTTTACTATACAACATTAATGTGATACTCCCTTCGTTCTTTATTATCTGTCCCTCTAGCCTTGGGCACGGATTTTAATAATAAAGTAGTAGGGGTAAAATACAAAGTATAGTGAGATGCGATTAAATGAAAAAGTAGGAAATAGAATAGATTAACGGATGTAATTTAATGGAGGAGGAAAAGAAAGATAAAAATAGAAAATTCAAAGGAAAGAGAAGATTGGCATGCGTACAATCAAGCATGGGGCCTACTCCCAATGCTATTGCCACCCAAATTACTTGAAGAGGACATTTCCCTCCAAATAAATGCCTACAACACTTGCTATAAAAACAAATGGCTAGTTTTTTTAACTTCCCTCCAAAAATTGCAAAACAACAATTCACATATTAGCCTTTTTGAACGTCTTCTCCAGCAAATCTGGACTTCAGATGAGTGCAAAAGCTTCTTTTTGTATTCCTCCAGAAGAGTTGGTGCTTATTGAGCAAGGCATTGCAGCTGAAGCAGATGAAGGTGATGGCGATTCTGAAGATGAACACCCATTTCTTGATAATATAGAACCAAACTCACATGAAACTGTACTTGCAAAAGCATGTATATCAATCACAAAGTCCAAAAGAAGGATAATAGCAGAAGATTTGTTATCAAAGTCAAGTGAATGTTGTGAGACAAAAGTGTTAACTTGTAAGAGAGCAGTACTGGAAGAACTTGTCATCACCCACAATGTTTCCACTAAAACAGTTGGCAAAATCCGGGCAACGACAAAACAACGAGTTGAACAAGGTTTGGAAATAAACATAGATCATAAAAGGAAAGACAAATGTGTCAGGAAAAGTCTGTCAATTGACATAGAACATATACATGCCCTTCCAAAGAGCAGCATGACCACTCTGAGAAGCTTGACAACTTCTCTTGGGGTCAACGTTTCAAAAACCCATAAGTTACGAAGTACTGGTATTATAAGAGCACACACAAATGCAATAAAACCTACTTTGAACGACAACAACAAACTGGAGAGATTAAAGTGGTCAATGTGTCACATTATCTTTTACCCTCAGAGGAGGATCCTCATAGAAGCTATCAAAGTAAAAGATTTATCAATAAGGTAATATTTTTGGCAACCATTGCTAGACCAAGGATCAATGATG